AAAGCTTCAACCACTTCAGCGGTTTCAGATCCCCACGTGAAATTCCTGAAATAACCTGAAGTGGTTGAAGCTTCTGAAAGGGGTTTCAGGTACCCCCATCCAAATGGTTGGATGGGGGTACCTGAAACCCCTTTCAGAAGCTTCGGCCACTTCAGCGGTTTCATGTCCCTACCTCAAATTCCTTAAAGGACCTGAAGTGGCTGAAGCTTCTCAAAGGGGCTCAAGGTACCCCCATCCAACCATTTGGATGGGGGTACCTGAAACCCCTTTAAGAAGCTTCAGCCACTTCAGCGGTTTCAGGTCCCCACCTCAAATTCCTTAAATGACCTGAAGTGGTTGAAGCTTCTGAAAGGGGTTTCAGGTACCCCCATCCAAATGGTTAGATGGGGGTACATGAAACTCCTTTAGAAGCTTCAGCCACTTCAAAGGTTTCAGGTCCCCACCTGAAATTCCTGAAATGACCTAAAGTGACTGAAGTTTCTGAAAGGGGTTTCAGGTACCTCCATCCAAATGGTTGGATGGGGGTACCTGAAACCTCTTTCAAAAACTTCAGCTACTTCAGCGGTTTCAGGTCCCCACCTCAAATTCTTGAAATAAGCTGAAGTGGCCGAAGCTTCTGAAAGGGCTTTCAGGTACCTTCATCCAACCATTTGGATGGGGGTACCTGAAACCCCATTCAGAAGCTTCAACTACTTCAGAGGTTTCAAGTCCCCATTTGAAATTCCTGACATGACTTGAAGTGGCTGAAAAAACAGGCAAAAAAAAAAAAAAAAAACAACAACATAAAACTTATCCTGCCAACCACCAGAAACCTCTAAAATGCCCGTAAGTGTCTTCAAGTCATTTCAACGGTTTCAGACCACTTCACAATCTTTCATTCTGAAATTTCAGGTAGCTGTTAACCGCGAGTGGCCCCTTGTATCAAGAAATCTGAATTAGCTCGCACTTTGTCGACAGCTAGTGGGACATGTTTCAGGTCTTCGTGTCCAAAATTGCGGATTAGACGCCTTGTTCCTGAAAGTAGGCTCTTCATTTCATGAAGACAAGACACCTCTTTCCCGAAAGTAAGCTCTTTCCTGAAAGTAGGCTCTTCATTTCCAGAACTGTGAGTTGTTGCCCTTCGTTTCCAGAACTCCGAGTCAGTGCACACTTTTCGACACGCGTGTTGCACGTGTTTCAGGTCTTCATTTAGACAACTTTGAGTTAGTTCGCACTTTCTTCAAGATAAACCGCGTCTTTCTTGAACGCGAGTTCCTTGTTTTCGGAACTCCCAGTTCGAAATGTTGTTTTTTCTCTATAATTGCGAGTTAGTTTGCACTTATCGGTAGCCATGCGGTAAGTGTTGTAGAGGTCTTTATTTCCGCAACTCCAAGTTGGTTCGCACTTTCACTAAGATAAGCCACCTCTTTCTTCATCTCCAGGATTGCGAGTTGTTTCACTTCGCCACAGTAGTATTGTCTTCGTTCTCACAACTCCGAGTTAGTTCGCACTTTGCAGTCGTGCTCTTAGGAAAACCTTGTCGCTTTCTCCCGGTCATCCGGTTTAGTCTAGGCTCGGGCATATTGGTGTCAGGTCGGGAGTAAAATGGCGCCCGCGAAGAACACATCGACAAGCGCTGGGCCGTCTGCCCCCGGGAAGGGACCACCTGTTCAACAATCTACTCCTCAGTATTTCCATACGAGGGATGCACAATGGTTTTTAGACTTCGATGTTGACGGGAGACTTGTTGGGCCAGTTGTTTTTATGCGGCACGCTGCCTTTCCGGATACTAAGGGAGAAGACCACGTCCATCCTATCGGTACCATCCTTTCATCCCAGAAACAGTCTGGAGGCTTGCTCAACCTGCAGACTAACATCTTTTACGACCAATGCAGACTGCCTTTGAAAGGTGTTAAGGGTGTGATATGCCGATCAAGAATTTCGCGGGGTATGACTCGAACATGCTACGCTGCCGTCACTTCAAACGACTTTACGATGGCAAAACAGGCCTCTTCCACCGCAAGTGGAATATCTCAATCTTGCGCTGAACGTGGCGAAAGAGCATCCGATTCTTCCGCGAGAATATGTTTTCCGGCTTCTGCCAGCCCATGAGGGGTCGTCCAGCTTGGCTCAAGAAACCCCTGTGACGACAGTGGGGCACGAAAGTGTGATTCACGACACTGACGGTCAGGGCGTGGGGCACGCACGCATTATTCAAACGTAGGTTGGCTCGGATGTTCCTGGGAACACGTTTGGCTTGCAACCTCCGGATCCAAGGGCTCACCGGGTCGGTACTCCGAAAATCCTCAAGTTCGTTTACCAGGGTGACACGTATTCCCTTGGAGATGAGGCGAGAAGAGAATCCGGCAGTTCAGGTCAAGAGGTTTGAGGGAATGAGGTTGAAGGGATGGGCGCTGTACGCGACAGCTCCGGCGGGGAGCCGACTTCTTCAGAGAAGAAGCGCAAGTGACAGAAGACTGTGCGAGAAGAGGTAACGGAATGAACCTGACGCATGAAGAGGATGAAAGGATACTCGGAGCCGATGATTGGCTGGGACGAAGGTGGCGCCGGAGAACGTGCCTCGGGAAAGAGGACACCATGGATGTGTGGCGGATAAGAACAAGGAATCAGAAAGAGGCAGTCAAAGCAAGTGGGTGCAACAACAAGTAAGAAAGCAAAGAGGTCCGGCGGTTTGACCATCCGCGAAGGACAAGATATGGGTGAAGGATATTCGGCTCGTCTAGGCATTGCGGCCGCTAGAGAACCTTCAGAGAAATCTAAAAGGATTGGCAGCTGAAGAAGGCGATGGTGAGAAGAAACCTCGAAGGAGGAAGAGTGTTGAGGGGACGAGTGGTGGCGAAAGGACGGTCGGTAGGCAGTACGACGAAGCGACAACGTTTTGGCTCGAATACGAGTGGAACGATGACGGTAAGATCGTGGAGAAGGAACTCCCCATTCAACTACTCATCGACCCCAGGAGGATCTGCGACATCCCAGCATGGGAAAAATATTACAATCACCGCAGTCTCACTCGGGATGGTGTGGATGACATCAAGGGTGCGATACTAAGGCAGTTCCACAAGGAAAAGGGAAAAATCTTGATGAAAAACCCTTTGGTACTGACACCCTTCTACAAGCCGGTGATGCATAAGCTGGAGAGAGCTGAGAGGGTTCACAAGGATGTCTTCAAGCCAGAGGACAAGGACAAGTACTTCTATTACCCTGTCAATGGACAACACACCGTGACTGTTGTGAAGGAGTTGGCCGGTGAGGCGATATTCGAATTGTGGAAGATGCACTCGTGGTCGGCGAGAGTTGTGTGGTTCTCTGACGAAGACTTTGGGGGGTATTTGCAGATCAGTCTGACAGAGAACACAAGACACAAGATGTCTAAGCAGCGTGCCAGAAGGCTGATTTTGAGGACATGCGGGAGGCATGGGAAAATCAAGGAAGGTCGGTGGTCATTCAAGGGAAACCTTCCGGCAAGGAGGCCGAAAAACAAGCGTTTTTCGAATTCCAAAAGCTGCTTTTGGAAAAGAGTCTGAACGACGCTCACTGGACGATGGCACGTAAAGCGGCAACGCTCGCCGACAAGGAGCACGTCGCTGCCATTCGTAATGCATTGAGCCTGATCGAGGCAATAAATGCCTCTCGTGACGGCTGGTGATGAGGTTTTCCGGAAGGCATGGAGTTCTATGACAAATGGGCCGAGGGAAAGTTGTTGGGCGGAGACGGGAAGACGCCCTTGTCGAAGCCGGGCAAATACATGCCAGACAAATCTCCGGGTCTTCAAGCGATTCCGGAAATGGGCGTGAAAGGGGCGGCTGGTGAAACGAAGATGGGGTGGCTGGTCTGGGTCCCGCCGCCTCCGACCAAAAAGAAAACGCAATCGAACGACAAGTTCTTCGTCGTCGTGAAAGATCCAGATATGTTTTATTGGCAGTCTCTCGCTGACATGACCGATGCCAAAAAACTGTCGATCCTCGAAGACATTCTCGCGCTGAGGGGAGTGTTCGTGCAATCGGCGGGCGGGCATCTGAAACGTCAACATAAGCCTGGAATTAAAGATATGGTCACGACGAGGAAAGTGGACCACATAATGCCCCACATGTTTCACTACATCTTATTCCGTGAATCCGAGGAGGACGCAAAGGTTAGGTGGTATGGGAACCAGTTTTTTCGGACCGGGGAGCAGCTTTTGGCAGAGTTCACGTCGTGGCGCGGTGAAGTACGTGAACACTTGCAAACGTTGTCTTCCGTACGAGAAGGAGTCCCTCGACGAAATGAAGAAAATGCATGATGATGAGCGGTTCCCTAAATCTTTCGAGAAGTCTATCCGCTCCATCTTGTGACGAACGGAGGAAGAAGTGGGTGACCAGCCTTATTCCTTTCACTTGTCCAGCTTCCCTGGCTCACACTCGTCTCACTGAGATCCGCGAGATTGTGCGACATTACGTGTGCAACTTGTACGTCCTCGATTTGTGTGATCCCACACTCCTCTCAGATTGGCAAGAAGACGATTTCGCCTCCTTGCAAGGCGTTCTCCAAACCCTTTCGCCAAGGCACTGGGTACTTGTCGTCGCAGACGAGGACAAGTTTCCTCGTAGCCAGTGGGAGGACGGCGACGTGACAAGTGTTTGAGGAGCTACTTACGGGGACAGGGAGCGCAACCCAACTCATTTAATTGGTCTGCTAGAGAACTTTTGCAGAGTTAGGCAAACAGTTTTTTTTGTTCGAAAAGGCGCATATGTCTGTCTTGTGGGAGCTCCTCCGCAGCGGTTGGAACGTCGTTGCATTAGAAGACGAGGCGAAGATGATCGACTACCTTTGCGAGTTCGTTAAGACACGAGTGGGGGACCCTCGCCACCATTGCTCTTTTGTCCATACCACCGGCGAACGGAACTGGGATCCCAAACGTGATATGTATTGGAAATCTCCGGAGAAGAAAATGATGGAGGTTTGAGAGTTCCTTTTCCGGTCGGGACCGCCTGCTCATACCGACCTGGAATACAGCCGACAGAGGAACCTGGTGTTCGGTGTGCTGAATGGTTATCACGATGCACCCAGGGAGTCTGTCTCAAATTTCCTGAAAAGGATGAAACACGTTTTCTTCTTGATGGCCGAACCGCTGACCTTCGGAAACTACAAGGCGCAGTTCGACGAGGAGGATCCTTTCGACGCTGAGGACATGCAGGAGATGAGCGACTCTGAAACCTTCGATTTTGAGTCCATGCCACTTCCTTGGGTGGTTGCACAGGTTGATGATGAAGGGGAAGATGTTCCTCGGAGATATAGCACGTCCCCTGCCAGTTTGAAGTGTGTGTTTGAGCGCGAAACAGTCGAGGACCAATCGTCTGATGATGGGGAAGAGGAGAAAGACTATGATTACGAACCTGGTGACAACCTCCCTAGGGACCATTATACTTGGGAGAATGACAGGCTCTTCTTCTACGGAAAGCATCACCGGTTCACGCCAGAGGATGTCTGGGGCCACAACGTCATGTGGCACGTTAGGAAATTCCAACTTGCTGTAAAGACTGGAAAGTGGGTCATGGCAATGAAGGAAGCCGATGGCAAGTGGAGTGGCATGAACAGACTAGGAGCGGGTCCATTTAAGAAAAAAGCGAGAGAAGCTCTGGTGGAGCATTTGAGTATTATGAACCCCGACAGGAGCCTGCCGGACGTCAATGCGTATGAAGGTCAAAAGCTCGATGAGCTGTACGCCAACAAAATGTTGGAGTTTTGAGCGTCTTTCTATGCACTCGAAATGGCACCGTCTCGTGGCATTGACTGGCGAATGCCGCAACCTCCGTCGGGTGGTCAGCATCCGGGAGGCGGTGGGCGAGGTGATGGAGAAGACGGCGCAGGACCCAGTGGACGACGTGACGGAGGAGACGGCTCAGGATCTGGTGGTGACGAACCAAAGGGGAAGGGGCCAGGCGAAACGTCATCAGAACCAAAGGAACACTCCTGCAGAAGGCCCCTCCAACACTTTGCGCTCGGCGTCGTGAAACAAAGTCCTCGCAGACAAGTGCGAATGTACTCGCACTTGATAAGACCTCAGGGCCGCCTCGTCTCGCATGTCCAAGTATTGACTCCCTTCGCAACGACTTTCAGTATCGCTAGACTCGTGACTCCTGAACGCTCTACTCTTTCCGCCCGGCCCGTTTTCGCCCGGCCCTTTTCCGCCTGGCCCCTTTCCGCCTGACCCCTTTCCGCCAAACCCTTTTTCGCCGGACCGTTTTCTGTCGGAATACCAGGCCTAGTGAGTATGAACGTTATGCTTCGGAGGGTGCTTCCATCGATTTTCAGAGCAAGAGTGCAGCGGATCCGGGGGAAGAGGAGCTGTCACAGGACGTGCATGCTGTGCACTGGGAAGAGGAGACTCAACACTGGCCGCCTCGTAGAGTGCTGGATGGTCTCAATGCAGGAGTGTTGGAGACCGGGGCCAGCTGGCATCTACGTCATCCTTCGGAGGGTGCGTTCATCGACTAAGAAAGCAAGAGCACATCACCTCCGGGGGAAGGGGAGCTCTTACAGAAAGCGCATGCTGTGCAGCGGGAAGAGGAAACTCAACATTGGCCGCCTCACTAAGTGTGGGAAGGGCTCGATGCAGGAGTGTTTGAGACCGGTGCTGGAGAGCATCAGTGTCATGCTTCGGAGGGCGCGTCCGTCGATGTTCAGAGGAGGAGTGCAACAACTTTGGGGGAAGAGGACCTCTCACAGGAAGCACATGCTGTGCAGCAGGATGTCGGGTCAGGCGGAGGTGAAAGCCACTGCGAAGGGAGTCGAGATTCCAACACGGGAGACAAGGCCGCCCTGGGTCTTATCAAGTGCGAGTAGATTCGCACTTATACGCGAGGACTTTGTTTCATGACGTTGAGGATAGTTCTCGCTACAGTACGCAGCACGTGTGTCCTGTTTAGGACGACACCTTGCTTTTGCACCTCTTGGAAGAGGGTGAACGTTTACAGCGTGCGACGCATCTGTTCAGGGGCCCTTTGTAGGAGTGTTGGAGACAGAGGCTAGCGAGTGCGAAGGTCATGCTTTGGAGGAGACGCATGTTGTGCAGTGGGATGAAGAGCTTCTCGAAGGCTCGTCGGGAAATGCCATCAACATCGGGGACACCGATTCGGTTTCGCACAGCGCGTCGCCACTGACGATGCAAGAGGGTGACGGTAATGGAGGTTATGGGATGTTTGTGGAAGGCAAAGACCGTGGGCGGGAAGGCCGTGCGTGGACGTTTGGGGAAGGTCGGTTTTGTGGCGATCAGGAGGGCAAAGAAAAACGCGTGTTGGAAACTCAGCTTAATGACGATGAGGAAGGCGAAGGAGCCGTGGGGGAAGCTCAACTTTTTAGCGGTGACGTGTCGGCTCGACTTCATGACGATGAGGCAGGCGAAGAAACCGTGGGGGAAGCTCAATCTTATGCCGGTGAGGTGTCGGGTCGGCTTCATGCCTATGAGGTGTCGGGTCGGCTTCATGCCGGTGAGGTGTCGGCTCATATAATAGGTTCGAAGCGAGCAGATCATGACTCTACGTCCACCAGCTATGGTGAAGAGCAAGGCGACCGAGCGCCTGCCCTCTGTTCCGGTCGGGAAATGGTGCTTCATGAAGCCACGAAGTTGGTAAGCGACTCAACTGCCATTGAGCTGGTTAGCGACTCAGCGGTGGTCGAGATGCAGAACATCGAATCCTCCACGGACGTCGGCACAGTGGCGTGATAGGAGATCGATTCCCCTCGAAGGACTCCCAAGCACGGTAAGATTTGTGAATAGTAGCACTCGCGCGTCTGTGGATGTTCAGCTCTGTGGTCCTCCACATTGAATTGATGGGCTCATGTGGCCATTACCACTTCTTAACCATAAGCTTGCGGGTTGTGGGTTGTTTTTCATGTTCTACAGGTGTGAGGTTGTCAATGTCCCTGCCCATGAAGCCTTCACAAACCATGCGCGGGAGAGTTGTAAGGGTTCTGAAGGCTTGTGGAATAAATAAGGAGGAAGCTTTGCGGAAACATGTAACTGCGTCTATCGAAAGCGTTACTGCTTTGTCTGACGGGTCTGATGGCGACGCCAGTGGGGTACCGTTAGAGACCCGTGTCCTAAGTACATCGCCAAAGACACATTCAGCAGTCAGGGTTACAAATTTTCTAGAAAAAGAGCACACAGATGTTGACCAATTCACACGGTGGTTTTGGCGGCTCCTCACACTTGTTCTTGGGTGTTTGTGCAGCTGCGGCAACATCATCTTTTTATGTGTCGTTGCCTACTGAGGAGCTTAGTGGTGCAGACTTGAGAATGTTGCAGGAGGTCTGCGGAGATTTCAGCAACGGCCACAAGGTGGTTTCCTCGATTCACAAAAGGACCAGTTCCATTGTGTTGAGCAAAAAAAATCTTCAGACTCTTGTTTAGAGGGGGTGACTTTGTGACGAGGTGGTGGAGTCCTACTTGGCCTTGGTTGGCAATGCTATGTTGCCGGGGTGTCCCTCTATTTATATTTTTCGTCTGTTTTTCTATACCAAACTGGTCGATGATTGATGTCGACATGATAGGGTTGCGAGATGGACAAAAGATGTCAACATTTTTTCGTACGATATGCTGATCATTCCTGTTCATAAAAATCGAGTGCACTGGACCCTATTGTGCGTTCGCGAAGGAGGGCTGGAGTACTACGACTCCCTCCTACAAGACGATGGCGGTTTTTCTTCCCGTGTGCTTGCGAATTTCACGAAATACCTCTGTGATGCAGCAGTTCGTCAATTTGGTCGACACACGAAACTGGATTTGCCCGAGCCGAAGGTGGTTGTTCACAGTGTTCCTCAATAGTCGGACAGGTCGAGCTGCGGTGTTTTCTTGCTCGCCTTCGCTTCCTTTCTGGCATGCGGTTATTCACCTCCAATTTCGATAGGCCAAAGCGACATTTCAAACATCAGGCTGAGGATGGCGGTGGACATAATCCAAGGCTCAGAATAATATCCCTGTTTTGAAAATACGCAACGTTTTTTATTCGCAAGGCCATAAACAAAGTGCAAATTTATTCCTACTTAGTCTAGCAGTCGGGCGGCTCGAGCTGTGGTGTTGTTTTGATGAGGTAAAGGGTTGAAGTGGACCCGTCTAGCAAGTGCACGCTTAGATGTCGATGTCAATATCCCAACCTCGTGCTGCTGTATTTTTTTAGGATTCTTCATCTCAATAAAACCTGACAACTTTACACGTGGGACTTTCTTTCACTTTCTCGGTTTTTTAGTTTTTCCGATGCAAATGACGTAGCCTCGTGTAGCCCGTTTTTTAGGACCCCGCCAGCCCCGTGCTGCCTTCGTTTGTTTTCAGGTTATTCATATTCCTTGCCACCCAGCATTAGCTACAGGGCTGTAGCGGACGCTTTGGTGAAGTAGACGCTTGGATGTCGATGTGAATATCACAGCCACGTGGTACACTATCTTTTAAGTAGACGGTTAGATATCGGATGTGAATATCCCACCTTCGCACTGCCTTTGTTTGTTTTCGGGTTGTTCTCCATATTTCCTGTACGACAGTGGCAGCGTCGTGCTGCCTTTATTCGTTTCCAGGTTGTGCTCCTGTGTTACTCATGGGAAATCCTTGTCCTCTTGTTGACATTCTTTGCACTCATGCTTGTTGGACTAGATACTCTAGTTCATTTAGAAGATGTTTGTGAAAGACCTCAGTGATTTCTTCTTGGTCGCCAAATTATTTCATGCTTATCTCAGAGTTCATTTTGCAAGATGTTGGTGAAAAATATCAATGATTACTTCTTGGTCGCCAAATTGTCCCGTGCTTGTCTCTTTTTTGCACGAGACTTTACGGTCTGAAAGACCTCCCCCCCCCCCCCGACCCCCACCTCCCCTCTCCATGTACCGCCCCATTTTTTTGGTTCACCCCCTCTTTTGTGCCCTCCTCCCCGCAACCACCCTCCTTGTCTCCAGTGAATGCCGACGATTGCTTCCATATGACAATTGTGAACTTATTCGCAATTTGTAAATCAATTGTCGCCAGAATATATGTGCGCTTGACGTCATTTATGGACTCCACAAAATTTGGTCGTGCAATAAATGATCACCGATTTTGTTATCGCAATAATAAATGTCGTGGTCTCCACTGAATGCTGACTGTTGTTTCCGTATGACAAATGCAAACATATTCGCAATTTAGAAGCCATACATTTGTGATAAGACGGTTTAAATCTACAAATTTTTCAGAATGATTACCTTTTGTGTTGTCACCAAAAAAAATTCACACCTGCAAGTTCACCACAAATGATCATCAACTTTGTTGAAACCACAATGTATGTGTGCTTGACCCCTGTGCTTCGAAGTTGTTGTCGTTTAAGGATCGATATGCGGTATTCGTCAAAATGGATGGTTGCCCAAAATTGTTACCTTCTGCGTTGTCACCGGAAGACTGATCATTTATGCAAGTTGGAAAAAAATGATATTTTGCTTAAATGATTGCCTTCTCTCTTGTCGAAAAAAATGGTTAAATCGTGAAAAAGATTGTCATTTGCGTCATGTCTTACCAATAGTGAAATTGGCTCCTCCATCTTTGCGAGCATTCATTTCTACCCCTCTTAAACCACCGCTCCCTCTGACGTCAACAAAACGGTTGCACAGGTTTATTAGGGCTACCCGTAGTACACACTGGAGAACCGCCAGTATGTCTGAATGATTTTTTATTTTTTTTTAAAAATCACTTAAAAAATCACGAGCAAATCTACTGACCCTCCAATTTTGGGGGTTTGTGACGCATTCTGCGGAGTGCGAAAAACCGCTCAAGTTGTAGAACTTTCCATGTTGGGCCGCAAATGGCCTTGTGGTAGAACTCGAACGTGCCCCAAATCGGCGCGGCGGTTATTTGGAGATCAAAAATATTTTTTTACATAATTTTGATATTTTTTCTGCAAGAACCACAAGCAAATCTACGAACCCACAAATTTTTAAATTTTTTTGTGAATTCTTCTAAGTGTGAAAAATCACCAAAGTTGCAACTGTCAAATTGTGAGAGTGGGCCCGCCGTTTCGGCCTCTGGTTGCTGCCCTCCCTGAGAACCCGCCGGAACGCACCAGGGTGGGGCTATTTCCTGCTGTCGGAGGGAGTGGTGGTTTCAAGCGCCTCCTTACCTTTTCCGTCGATGCTCTGTGCGAGAATTGTGCAAATTGATTCGTAGTTCAAGATTCGTTCCTCTTCCTTTGCTCGAGGGAATTTTTAACTGGCTTACGACGCCTTCTCACGTCTTCGGACTTCCACATTTAGCCTTTTCCGATTTTCGCTAAAAGAGGTGCATATCTCTAAAGGGGTGCACGAAGGCTTGACGTATCACTTAAAGGGTTGCACGACGGCTTGACGTGTCGCTACAAGGGTTGCAAAAACATTTGATGTGCACTCATCGTCGTCGTTTTTGCAATTCCCGGTGCCCATTCCTTTTCGTTATAAGAGGTCGACACCGGGTCTGCCATGGGTGCCCGAGCGTGAAATGCAATTCGAATCTTATACAATGCGGAAATGACCGTTAACAACGAATAATAATTGTTGGCACCTGTGGCGTTAGTTTTCCCTCACCTTTATGTTACGTCTGATGCAGGACCTTTAAAATGTGTGATGCATAACCCTTGCGCTTTCATTTTATTTCTCGCTCGACTGCCGTAATGACGGATAAAGATGCACCATAATTGTAATGATTCACATCTGCGACAGTGAGAACAGTACAATGACAAGGTCCTTATGCGCGGAATGTTTTCGAGTTTGAAAATGGGTACTCCAACTATGATGGGAGCCTCTCCCACAAATGGCATTGTAACATAACACGAACGTGCTCTGAATCGGTGCGGCGGTTGTTTAGAGGTAGAAATTATTTTTTTAAATGTTCTTGATATTTTCTTGGAAGGACCACGAGCAAATCTACGAACCCTCGGACTTTTAAAATTTCTATGGATTCTTCTGAGCAAGAAAAAACAGCAAAGTTATCGATGTCAAATTGCGAGACTAGGCCCACCGTTTTGGCCTTCGGTCGCCGCCCTCCCTAAGAACCCGCCATAACTCATTGACTTACCGTGAGGGCACGGGTGCGCAGCCCGAGGTTTTATATGCTTGATTGATAAACAGAGAGAGAGAGAGAGAGAGAGAGAGAGAGAGAGAGAGAGAGAGAGAGAGAGA